AATGAATTACTATAGGGGGGATGAATTACTATAGGGGGATGAATTACTATATGGGGGATTAATTACTATGCTTACTATGGGGGATATTACTATACTTACTATGGATGGCATGGTAGTGGCTGGGCTGGCCAGCAGCTAGTCCGGCCCCGGGTCCAATATATGAACCCATTGCGGCCCTCAAGTCAAAAAGTTTGCCCACCCCTGGTTTAGGAGGAGTCACTTTAAGTGTCACGAGTGTTTTTTGTTTTGTTTTAAAGATAATGCACTATATTTAGTTTATATTTTTTTTAGGTATCTTGGATGGAAAAGCTACGAACTGGATTGGTATTCAACACTTGGAAGAATATTTTGTGTGGACTTTTGCTTGGACACTTATACATACATATACAATATTGTATTTATTATCTTATGTATGAGGGGAGATGATGGGAGTGTATTAGAGGGATTACAGAAAAAGTTTTATTTCAATTGCGGGGTCGTGCCACACTGTCCCCGGACGACATTTTTTTAGCATTTTTTTTGAGACCAATAAAACTTTATTTTGGTAGTATTTATTCACCGCTGGGGATTTTTAGTATTTTTTTGCTATAGAAATGAAAAAGTCCAAAAATGTGGAAAAAAAAGGGTTTTTCTTATAAAAATTTTGCAAACAAATCATCCTTCTTCCTAAATTTCGGTCAAAATCTATTCCGTTATCTTTTTAGTTAAAAAATAACCCAAATTCGTTTATAACCAAAAATTATACATTATACATTTTAATTTTTTTATATTATTTGTTTTTTGTTTTTTTTACACACCATCACCCTATCAGCACCATGGTGACACTGTACTATTTGTGGGGGGGGTGAAGATTTTTTTTTTTTCACTGATTTCTTTTCCACCCATAAAAAACTGTAAGAGGAATCATTTCTCCTCTCTGCATTCTTGCAGCCATTGAGAAATACTGTGTGAGCTGTGATTGGTCACAGCTTGTCACATGGTACAAGGCTGTTGTGAATGGCCCTGTACCATGTGATCTCGGTGATCATTCACAGATTTCACACGTAGTAAGCAATGATGTCAGAAGTGACCTCTTGCTTACTACTCTGCATGTGATTACTGATTGGCCAATCAGACATCACATGTTCGGTACCTCACGCAGAGATCCTGTACAATGATCCGATCTGGAGAACACAGCGGGTCCCGGGTCGCTCCCAGGGGGCGGGGAGAACGTTTACAAATGCCCCCCCCCCCCGCACTGCTCCCGTCCGCCCGTTTATATACATGTTCCGGATGGGAAGGGGTTAAAGAACGATCTTTTTGTAGAAATGAACGATCCCACCAAATAAAAGATCAGATTGGTCACCAAAGAAAAGAGCGACAGCGCGATAACATGAAGAAACAAAGGTTCTAGTTTTGGGGAAATTGCCAGGAAATTGGGTCCCGGAGTTCCAGCATCTGGAGCCCAGAAGCTGTGCACACGATTTACCAAACACCAAAACGAACGAAACGCAGCAAGGCAGAGGAAGGAGAAAAAAAGCCACAACACCCAAAACTGACAAGAATCACAAGAAATGCCGTGCAGAACAGAAAATCCTCTGCCAAGGATACCAACAAGGTGTTGTCAGATGGAGGACTGTCTGTGTCTGACCGAACAGGAAGAAGTCGACTTGTTGCTGCTGGAGTAAGAGATCAAATACCAAGGAAAAAAAAAACATTTTTAAATTGCCAACAAAGCGCAGGGGTCGGGAGAAATGTTATGCACATCCCCATGTAAAGAGTGCAGGGGTCGGGAGAATGTTATGTACATCCCCGTGTACAGAGCACAAGGGTCAGGAGAATGTTACGTACATCCCTGTGTACAGAGCGCAGGGGTCGGGAGAATGTTACGTACATCCCCGTGTACAGAGCGCAGGGGTCGGGAGAATGTTAGGTACATCCCCGTGGACAGAACGCAGGGGTCGGGAGAATGTTAGGTACATCCCCGTATACAGAACGCGGGGGTCGGGACAATGTTACGTACATCCCCTTGTAAAGAGCACAGGGTCGGGAGAATGTTACGTACATCCCCGTGTACGGAGCGCAGGGGTCGGGAGAATGTTAGGTACATCCCCGTGTACAGAACGCAGGGGTCGGGAGAATGTTATGTACATCCCCGTGTACAAAGCTCAGGGGTCGGGAGAATGTTACGTACATCCCCTTGTACAGAGCGTGGGGTCGGGAGAATGTTACATACATTCCCGTGTACAGAGCGTGGGGGTCGGGAGAATGTTACGTACATCCCCATGTACAGAGTGCGGGGGTTGGGAGAATGTTACGTATATCCCCGTGTACAGAGCTCAGGGGTCGGGAGAATGTATTGTACATCCCCTTGTACAGAGCGCGGGGGTCGGGAGAGAATGTTACATACATCCCCGTGTACAGAGCACAGGGGTCGGGAGAATGTTAGGTACATCCCCGTGTACAGAGCGCGGGAGTCGGGAGAATGTTACGTACATCCCCGTGTACAGAGCGCAGGGGTCAGGAGAATGTTATGTACATCCCCGTGTACGATGCGCAGGGGTTGGGAGAATGCTACGTTCATCTCTGTGTACAGAGCGCAGGGGTCGGGCGAATGTTATGTACAGCCCGGAGTACAGAGCGCAGGGGTCAGGTGAATGTTATGTACATCCCTGTGTACAGAGCGCAGGGGTCGGGAGAATGTTATGTACATCCCCGTGTACAGAGCGCAGAGGTCGGGAGAATGTTACGTTAAGCCCCGTGTACAGAGCGCAGGGGTTGGGGGAATGTTACGTACATCCCCGTGTAAGGAGCGCAGGGGTCGGGAGAATGTTACGTACATCCCTGTGTACGGAGTGCAGGGGTCGGGAGAACCCTTTGGAGGAACCTCTAGAACCCTTTCGGGATGCTGTCATATATAGCAGTAGAAATATGAGTTCTATATATGATTCTCAGCTCCCATCATACAGGTAAGGACGGCCTAATATTCTGCCATTCATCCCAACAGCCAAAGTTTAGTCTGAAACCAGGTTCATACTGAGCTCAGCCCGAGATACCAACTGCTAGTGAAATAGTTCATTACTCCAAACTCTAGAACCCTTTGGAGGAACCCTGGCTGAGAAAGGCCAGATTAGGCAGTCATATATTTCTGTCCCCCTTGGTGGGAGTGGACCTCTCTATGAGGACATACAGTCCATACACACACCCAGCACAAGGCCGGGGTCACACTACTAGACGGTTCTCGGGGCTGCAGTTCCTCTGGGCTCCACAAGGTGGTAATCTCACTTCTACCCAGACAGGAAGTCACTATGGAAGACAGGAAGTGATGTCAGGTACAGACAGGAAGTGATGTCAGCTCTAGCCAAGAAATTCCATAAGCTACGACCTAGAGAGGACATGCTGGAAGTGGCAGCGGAGGAGGTAATAAGGTGTTATTTTATATTTACGAGAAACTCCAAATAATTCTTCAGTTTGTCAAAATTATATCTCTATAACAAAGCCGGTATAGATAAAATGACAACACGAATGAGGATGGAGGAGGACTGGAGTCACATGACTGAGAGGATACTAAACCTCACCCTGGAGATCATCTACCTGCTGACCGGAGAGGTGAGGAGGATTCTGGGAGGTCACATGACATCACTCTCATCTCTATTAATAAAAACAGACCTGACCGGAGAGGTGAGGAGGATTCTGGGAGGTCACATGACATCACTCTCATCTCTATTAATAAAACACAGACCGGACCGGACAGGTGAGGAGGATTCTGGGAGGTCACATGATATCACTCTCATCTCTATTAATAAAACACAGACCTGACCGGAGAGGTGAGGAGGATTCTGGGAGTCTAACCTGATGTTCCTATTGGTTCCTCAATACAGAGATTTCCTCTTCTGAAGTCAGGTGATCATATGACCATCACAGTGCCTCCATGTGACTCCCTAAACCCTGAGAGATACAACATGCAGAAGATTCTAGAAGTCACCAAGAAGATGATGGAGCTGCTGACAGGAGAGGTGAGCGGTGCCGGGAATTCTGGGACATTCTCCCAGTAACAGACAAGGGATGTGTCTGGATGGTGACTGTATCATTGTGTGTGTCAGGTTCCTATAAGGTGTCGGGTCGATGATTTATTTGCATTTTTTTTATATATTCAGATTGGAAACCTCGGAGATAATATTGTTGTTAAAGAGGAGGATGAGGTGTTCGGTGTGATGAAGGAGCTTTCTGAAGAACAAAGAGACCTGTACAAGATGGAGCCACCTAGTAATTGGAACCCACCAGAGAGATGTCCCCGTCTTCTGTATTCCCGGGATTCCACACAGGAAGGTCACACCATCCCTCACTATTACAAGGTTGGTGGGACGGAGAATCTAGAACATGGACTCATGGAGACGATGTGCGGATTCTCTATGTGATGATGTCACAATAATAAATCTTCTATCTTACAGATGATATTTTCTCTCCTTCTCTTGATGTAGAGTGGAGATCCAATCGATATAGAATTTGAGGTGAAATCAGAAGAAGAAGAGGCGTATGTGAGGGATGATCAGCAGTCTATGGAGGAGGATGGAATAACGGGGACATTTATAGAGGAGGACACTACAGAGATCAGCACAGGTGGGTCATGAACACGAAATCCATTCCTCCACCCATACTGCTCACTGATTGGTCACTGACCCATTTCCTAGTTTCCTTGAGGGTGGAATTGTGCACTCCTCATAGACCAAGCTGCCTGATGTGGGCAAAGTCCTGGTTTGGGGGAACCAATCAGCTCCTGTCTAGTAATCCTCTTTGTCTTTGTATTTTAGTCCATGGCCGGGAGATGAGGAAAACCTCGGAGGATTGTCTCACTTTGTCTCCAGACTGGAAAGTAGAAGATGAGGACATCACACAGTATAGTCCAGGAGAAAACCCAGCTCCCTCCAATGTCCATCCGGCACCACCCAGTGTAGATGGACCATCGGATTCCTCGTATCCTGAGGAACCTCAGACTGTGCGGGACCGGGCCGGCCTTCCAACAGGGAAGAGCTTCTCCTGTACTGAGTGCGGAAAATGTTTCCAATCTAAATCCGGTCTTAATGTGCATAAAAGATCTCACACGGGGGAGAAGCCGTATTCCTGTTCTGAGTGCGGGAAATGTTTCCAATGTAAATCCGGTCTTAATGTGCATAAAAGATCTCACACGGGGGAGAATCCATATTCTTGTCCTGAGTGCGGGAAATGTTTCCAATGTAAATCCGGTCTTGATGTGCATAAAAGATCTCACACAGGGGAGACGCCATATTCCTGTTCTGAGTGCGGGAAATGTTTCAGTGTTAAATATCGTCTTATTGAGCATCGGAGATCTCACACGGGGGAGAAGGCACATTCCTGCCCTGAGTGCGGTAAATGTTTTTCAAGGAAATCCAGTGTTTACATACATCAGAGATATCACACGGGGGAGAAGCCGTATTCCTGTCCTGAGTGCGGGAAATGTTTTGTAACAAAAATCGCAGCTTGTCAGACATCATACAACCCACACAGGAGAGAAGCCTCATTCCTGTTCTGAGTGCGGGAAATGTTTTTCAGTAAAGTTGAATCTTTTCGCACATCAGAAATCTCACACGGGGGAGAAAGCCTCATTCCTGTCCTGAGTGTGGGAAATGTTTTTCACGGAAGTCCAGTCTTTACATACATCAAAGATCTCACACAGGGGAGAAAGCCGTATTCCTGTCTTGAGTGCGGGAAACGTTTTTCAGTGAGGTCCAATCTTTCCATACATCAGAGATCTCACACGAAGGAGAAGCCATATTCCTGTCCTGAATGCGGGAAATGTTTTCATTCAAAATCTGAGCTTAGTGTTCACAAAAGATCTCACATGGGGGAAAAGCCACATTCCTGCCCTGAATGTGGGAAATGTTTTTCTCAAAAGTACAAACTCTACAGACATCAGACATTGCACACTGGTGAGAAACCATGTTCCTGTCCTGAGTGCGGGAAATGTTTTAATTTGAATTCCACTCTCATTACACATTTAAGATCTCACATAGGTGAGAAGCCACATCCCTGCTCTGAGTGCGGGAAATGTTTTGTAACAAAATTGCAGCTTGTCAGACATCATAGAACCCACACAAGAGAGAAGCCTCATTCCTGTCCTGAGTGTGGGAAATGTTTTTCAGTAAAGTTGAATCTTTTCGCACATCAGAAATCTCACACGGGGGAGAAGCCTCATTCCTGTCCTGAGTGCGGGAAATGTTTTTCACAGAAGTCCAGTCTTTACATACATCAGAGATCTCACACAGGGGAGAAGCCGTATTCCTGTCTTGAGTGCGGGAAATGTTTTTCAGTGAGGTCCAATCTTTCCAGACATCAGAGATCTCACACGAGGGAGAAGCCGTATTCCTGTCTTGAGTGCGCAAATGTTTTTCACACTGAGGTCCAATCTTTCCAGACATCAGAGATCTCACGGGGGAGAAGCCACGTTCCTGTCCTGAGTGAGGGAAATGTTCCTCACTGAAGTCCTGTCTTCCTGTACATCCGGGGTCCCACACAACCCTGGAGATGTATTAACTCCTTGAGTGCGGGAAATGTCTTCTAGATGAATGTTGCTGGACATTCCGGCTCTCGTGGGGAAGAAGCACACCCTGGGGTGTTTAAACGCAGAGCGGTAGCTAAATTAGAAACAAAATGGATATTTGATCTCCGCTCTTTATCTCCACTAGGTTTAAATGTCGATCTCGACATTCATTGTTTTATTGATAATAGCTAAAGAGTACCCCCGTTCATTTATCACCCCTTTTTATATATACCCCATTGGATACATTATTTCATTTCATATTTTATGTTTTAATATCTTGTCCTCTTCGCATGCGTTTTAGATTTACTTTCACCTTTCATTTACCTCCTTTTTAGGTGGTTTTAGTTGATTTCCCCCCAGTGTCCTTTTAGATGGTTTTTTATGATATTATTGCCATCTAATCGTTTATGTATTTTATAGAGAGTATTAACCACTATGTGCTGAAGCCCCTCGTTTAGGAATTCCTACCATTTTATAATATTTTTATGTTATGTTCTACTATTGATATGTTATTCACATTTTTACCGTTTTGAGATATTTTTTATCTACATAAGATCCCTTTTTCATGTTTATTCTATTTGGTTTTTTCATTTATACTTTAAATATTTTTTATTTTCTTCTTTTTTTCCATGGATCTGTTTATTGTGTTTATCTATATGGTCTGCTTCTATGTTTTTATGTGATCAGTTAGTGAATAAAGCCGGCCACAGACGGGTCAAAAATCGGCCAATTTTTGCACCGTTAGTGGGTTAATAAACAGCTTGTTTTCCTCATTTCCGTGTCCGGAGATTTCCTGGTATTCCCAAAGTTGCTACTACAGTATCTGTCAGTCTTGCAATGCCTCATGGGACTGTAGATTGGCAACAGTTGGAGGGCTGCCAGTGTGACACCCGTGCTGTAGAGGATCGTTCCAGCCTGGAGGGGGCATACTGCCGGATCTACTGCCAGAGGCCTCAGGAGGGCCAGAATGCTGAGACCTGGGTTCTGCCAAGAGCTGACTGGAGGGCCGTCTACTGAAGGTTTGTTCTGGTATCATGGAGGAAGGCTGCTAGCTGCTTCTGGGCCTTGTGAGTACAGACACCCCTAAAAGTCCTGAGAGACTGTGTGCTACATAACCCCCCTCTGGTGCTACAGAGTCAGCTGCGGGTCTAGATAAAGGGGGCCCGGGATGGTGTTCTGAAGAGCTTTGTCCACTTAATCTCCTGCTGCTACTACTACTACTATTACTACTGCTACTACTACTAATGCTACTGCTTATACTGCTACTACTACTAATGCTACAACTTCTACTACTATTACTACTGCTACTACTTCTACTTCTATTACTGCTACTGTCATGGAAATTTTGTATTGTTGGTCGAACTTTAAATGTGTCATATATTAGTGTTATTCATATGTCTCTCGTGTGGCTTAATTAAAGCTCTGAAGGCTGCAATTGGGCCATGCGCATGTACAATGTATGTATTACAGTACTCAGCTTGGTAATGGATGAGATGGCGGATCTGCGCTTCTAGACCGGCGTGTATACCACCACGGCATTCGATGCGAATGCTGCTGGCAGTAGACCGCGGGCCTGTATCCACATATCAGCAGCATAGTACCACATGGACTTCGTAACGCAAGGCGCCAAGCGGTACGAACTCCGCGTGTAGGCTTATGCATATCTTACAACCCATTACCAACCTGAAACTGTATCCGGATGGATGTGTTTTAATAAAGATCGTATTGGGCCCATCCAGGTACAGACTGGTATTTAGCCTGGGGGATGCTTGTACAGAGAATGAACATACTGCTAGGAGCTGGAACAAGAGATATGCTCTCCACAGAGGGCTCATGGGGGGAAGGGGAGGAAGTCTGCTGACCTCAGAAGGCTCATGGGGGAGGACCAGTGATAGATAATAGGAAAGGCTATGCTCCAATCGGAATGTACATCCTGTGTATAGGCACTCCCCATTGCATTGTTCGGTGGGAGGGGTTTGACCTTATTCATGTGGGGGGGCGTGTGTGTATTTGTAATAAAACTAAAGGGGAGAATGAAAATTGCCCTTATGTGAATTCAACCATCAACCTGAAGGTGTGTCGTGTGATCATTTTCAGGGTAACGGAGCTCCAATCACCCACAGTTCAACAGAAGCTAAAGTAGTTGGATGGGCAGGAATCGTGTAGTTTAGCTGCAGTCGTGGTAAGCGAGATTCGCACAGCTTTATGGGGGATTTCTGCGCATCCAACTGCGAGTACTCACGGTAAGGAGAAATTCGTTAAAGCGAATTTCCAAGACACTACTACTACTATTAATACTGCTACTACTTCTACTACTATTGCTGCTGCGCTAATACTACTGTTACTACTACTATTACTACTACTGCAACTACTACTATTACTACTACTACTGCAACTACTACTGCTGCTGCTACTAATACTACTATTACTACTACTGCAACTACTGCTACTAATACTACTGCTACTATTACTACTACTGCTACTACTATTACTGCTGCTACTACTATTACTACTGCGACTGCTACTACTACTATTACTACTACTACTACTACTATTACTACTGCTACTACTATTACTACTACTGCAACTACTATTACTACTACTGCTACTAATACTTCTGCAACTACTATTACTGCTGCTACTACTACTGCAACTACTATTGCTGCTGCTACTACTACTGAAACTACTACTTCTACTACTACTGCTACAACTACAGTTGCAAGAAAAAGTATGTGAACCCCTTGGGATTACGTGGAGTTTTGCATGAATTGGGCATAAAATGTGCTCTGAACGTCATCTAAGTCACAACAATAGAAGAACACAGTCTGCTGAACATAATACTACACAAACATTAGATGGTGCCATGGTTTAATTGCACATAACATGTAAACATTCACAGTGCAGGGAGGAAAAAGTATGTGAGGCCCTAGCTTAATGACTTCTCCCAGAGCTAATTGGAGCCAGGAGTGAGCCAACCTTGACTCCAATCAGTGTGATGATATTGAATGTGTTGCTGACAGCTGTCCTGCCCTTAAAAAACACACACCTGTTTTGGGTTTACTGGTTTCAAGAAGCACTGTCTGATGTGAACCATGCCTCGCAGAAAAGAGCTCTCAGAAGACCTACGATCAAGAATTGTTGACTTGCATGAAGCTGGAAAGGGTTACAAAAGTAGCTCCAAAAGCCTTGATGTTCATGTGTCCACGGTAAAACAGACTGTCTACAAATGGAGAAAGTTTAGCACTGTTGCTACTCTCCCTAGGCATGGTCGTCCTGTAAAAATGACTGCAAGAGCACAGCGCAGAATGCTGCATGAGGTAAAGAAGAATCCCAGAGTGTCAGCTAAAGACCTACAGAAATCTCTGGCACATGCTAACATTTTTGTTGACACATCTACAATAAGGAAAACATTAAACAAGAATGGAGTACATGGGAGGACACCACGGAAGAAGCCATTGCTGTCCAAAAAGAATATTGCAGCACGTTTGAAGTTTGCAAAAGAGCACCTGGATGTTCCACAGCACTACTGGCAAAATATACTGTGGACAGATGAAGCCAAGATTGAGTTGTTTGGGAAGAACACACAACACTATGTGTGGAGAAAAAAAGGCACTGCACACCAACATCAAAACCTCATCCCCACTGTAAAACATGGCGGAGGGAGCATCATGGTTTGGGGCTGCTTTGCTGCCTCAGGGCCTGGACGGATTGTTGTCATTGATGGGAAAATGAATTCCAGAGTTTATCAAGACATTTTGCAGGAAAATGTATGGCCATCTGTCCGCCACCTGAAGCTCCGCAGAGGATGGGTGATGCAACAGGACAATGACCCAAAGCATACAAGTAATTCAACAAAACAATGGCTGCAACAGCACAGAATACGCCTTCTGGAGTGGCCCAGTCAGAGTCCTGACCTCAACCCGATTGAAATGCTGTGGCATGACCTTAAGAGAGCGATTCACACCAGACATCCCAATAATATTGCTACACTGAAACAGTTTTGTGAAGAGGAGTGGTCCAAAGTTACTCCAGATCGTTGTGCAGGTCTGATTTGCAACTACAGGAAACGTTTGGTTGAGGTTATTGCTGCCAAAGGAGGGTCAACTAGTTATTAAGTCCAAAGGTTCACATACTTTTTCCTCCCTGCACTGTGAATGTTTACATGTTATGTGCAATTAAACCAAGGCAACATCTAATGTTTGTGTAGTATTATGTTCAGCAGACTGTGTTCTTCTATTGTGACTTAGATGACGTTCAGAGCACATTTTATGCCCAATTCATGCAAAACTCCACGTAATCCCAAGGGGTTCACATACTTTTTCTTGCAACTGTACTACTGCTACTACTACCATTATTGCTACTACTACTACTATTACTGCTACTACTACCACTACTGCTACTACTGCCTTCCAGCTGAAGTGTACTGTTGTCCTCCAGCACAGACTTGGTGGTAGTTTATGGGAAAGAGTCCCTGCAGTCCTCACCTGGACCTCCTCCTTGTGTTTGGAGGGTCCCACCTCATCCCCTCACTCTGTCCAAGTTCTCCAAAAATGACAACACGACCCCCCCAACCCCCCTAGACTGGTCATTGAAGAAACATGTGAATGAGCCGATGTGCCTGGCTGGGGGGCAAAGCTATTGGGTGAGACCTGGACAGTATTCCTGCCGATCCTGCGAGGGTAGACCTACACATACATTGGTGACCGATGGGAGAAGGACCCCTTATATCAGTGGTCAGTGTAGTGGTCCCTTACATTGGTGACCGATGGGAGAAGGACCCCCTTATATCAGTGGTCAGTGTAGTGGTCCCTCACATTGGTGACCGATGGGAGAAGGACCTCCTTATATCAGTGGTCAGTTAGTGGTCCCTCACATTGGTGACCGATGGGAGAAGGACCCCCTTATATCAGTGGTCAGTAGGAGAAGGACCCCCTTATATC